GCAGACAGAAAGTATAAGAAAGAACCAAACAGATATTGGAAACTGAAGAATATAGTTAGTACCTGAATTGAAATATACAATAGAAACATCAGCAAAAGACTTGATCAAGCAAAAGGAAGAATAAGACAACTTGGACTTACCCACAGTGTTCCTGGAATGTGGGAACCAAATTCCAGTATCTCAACCACTTCCCTCCCAAATTACTTACATGGGGCAGAAAACAGAACTTTAAAACTAGTTTAACATAAAATTCATCAGCAACGTGTACAGACTTCCCCAGGTTCACCAAGAAATCCAATAGTACCCAGGTCATGCCACCCTTACACTGTTACCAAAGGACTTTGGCTCTCACTGCAAATGTGATGGAAGCAGAAAGAGAATCCTTAGATGATGTTGGATAGTAAGTGTTGGAGAGGATCTGTCCCTCTAAGACAGAAACAGAAATAAACGTGACCTTCTCAAAAATTAGTTCCATTGAAGCAGATGTTTCCAAACAATTATACAACATCTGATTTTGGGCCTCTCACCTGGATCATCTGTTTCCTTGATTCCCACCTACCTGGCAGGATGGGTATTGTCTTTTTCCCCTTCAACTCCCAGGGCTCGTTCATGTATTTCAAAAAGGTGAGTAGGTCTGGTTTAGACACACCTGTTTATTAGAAAAAGAAACATGGGCCATAGCCAGTTTGGCTCATTGTGAAGAGTGTCAGCCTGAGGACTGAAGGGTCCCTGGTTTGATTCCAGTGAAGTGCACATGCCTGGGATGCAGGCTTGATCCCGAAAAGGGATGTGCAAGAGGCAGCCAATCAATGATTCTCTCTCATCATTAATATTTCTACCTCTCTCTCCCTCTCCCTCTCTGAAATCAAATAAAAATATATTAAAAACAACAACAACAACCAAAAACTTACAAAAAAAAGAAACATGGGTTCAATGCAGAATCTCCAATTTCCAATCCAGCTCTGTGCTCAACTAAGAAGATAGGACATTGTAGAATACCAGAATATCATAAAAAATTATATCCCAAAATATTGTTTTCTGACAGAACCTTTAATTATACTGAAGACAACATTTAAAGTTTTCAAATCTTGGGTTCCACTTCCAAATACATCAGGAAGCCTTTTTGTTCTGCATCAGCAAAACCACAATTGCTTTCCTTAATAACATGGATCTGAAACTCTATCATAAAAAGCAGAAGCTACAAGCAGACACTGTACTAATGAAGAAAACAATACCCTGCAGGTGGAGGAGAAATTCTGGAAGGAAGTGGTCCTCACCCAGGAATACCAGGTTCCTGTAGTTCTGTAACATCACGTCCCTGAACAGTTTCCGCTGAGCTGGGTCCAGGCACGCCCACTCCTCCTGAGAGAATTCTATGGCCACATCACTGAAGGTCAACTGCCCCTGAAATTAAAAGAAAAGCATTAATCAATTGACCATGGGCAGAGGTCATAAGGTCACTCAAAATGAAGTTAATAGAACCAGTTTAGGCTTAGGACAGTATCTTGAGTTATCCAACAGCATCACTTTGACATTAATATTCTCTAATGTATTTTTAGAAAGGAAGATGGCATATGATCCACAAAACCACAGAAGTTTTACTTTTTTGAAAGATAAATTTTAAAAAAACAGGCATCAACACAAGCATATCCATTTTTTAGTGCTATGTTTGAATCACAGAGGATCAACTGTACATATTTCTTAGCTGGAGAAGTCATTCTGAGTGAGCACAGTGTAGTACTTTTAAAATTTTAATGAGTTCTGGGGGGGCCTGAATTTCCATATGTTTAACTAGCTCACTTATAACTATGGATACCAATGTGCTGGTACATGTGCTGTACCTTTGGATACTACAGAAGAAAACACAGGAAAAAATTCATATACAAGATTTTGACTGAACAATTTTATGGAATTTACAAGTGTCATAGAATAGTACGCCTATCAACCACAGTTGTTTTAACAGTTATTTATATATTAACTAGAGGTCCGGTGCACAAAAATTTGTGCACTCGGGGGAGGGGGGGTCCCTCAGCCCGGCCTGTGCCCTCTCGCAGTCTGGGACCCCTCAGGGGATGACCACCTGCTGGCTTAGGCCTGTTCCCCAGGGGAGTGGGACTAAGATGGCAATCAGACATCCCTCTGGCAGCCCGGCAGCCCTTGGGGAATGTCCACTTGCCAGCGGGGAGCAGGCCTAAACTGCAGTCGGACATCCTTAGTGCTGTTGAGGAAGCAGGAGAGGCTCCAACCACTACCGCTGTGCTGGCAGCCATCAGCCTGGCTTGTGGCTGAGCAGAGCTCCTCCCATGTGAGAGCGCCCTGACCACCAGAAGGCAGCTCCTGCATTGAGCGTCTGCCCCCTGGTGCTCAGTGTGTGTCATAGTGACCAGTCATTCCCAGTGCTTTTGCTGTTAGGATCAGTGTGCATATTACCCTTTTACTATATAGGATAGAGGCCTGGTGCATGGGTGGGGGCCGGCTGGTTTACCCTGAAGGGTGTCCCACATCAGGGTGGGGGTCCCGCTTGGGTGCCTGGCCAGCCTGGATGAGGGGATGATGGCTGTTTGCAGCTGGTCACACCCCCTTCAGGGTGGGGGTCCCCACTGGGTTACCTTGCGAGTCTGGTTGAGGGGCTGAGGGCCGTTTTCAGGCTGGTGGGTGACTGAAGCTCCCAACCTCTCCTTTTTTTCTTTTTTTTTTTTATTCTGGGATTTATTTACCTTCTATGGCTGTTACTGGAGCTGAAAGCCAGCTTTAGCGCTGAGGCTCGGCTCCAGCTCTGAGACCTTGGCTGCTGAAAGCAGATATCTGGGTTTGTTTGGCTTCTATAATTGAAACACTGTTGCAGCTCCAGCTCTGAGGCCCGGCTCGATCAAAGCAGGTTTCTGGGGTTTGTTTAGCTTCTATAATTGCAACATTGTTGCGTAGAGTGCAGCTCAGAGGCCAGCAGCAGCAGGCAGGGAACCTTGGCTTCCTCCATCACTGGAGCAAGCAAGCCTCCTGTTTGCTTCCGCTGCCTGGATGCCGGCCGCCATCTTGGTTGGCAGTTAATTTGTATATCGCCCTGATTAGACCATGGGAAGCGTGTTGGAAGTACGGTTAATTACCATGTTTGTCTGTTATTAGATAGGATAATTAATAAATCTCAAAAGTATTCAAAAAACAATAACATTATTGTTCATTTTTTAAAATGTTTTTATTGATTTTTAGAGAGAGAGAAAGGGGGAAGGACAAAGAAACAGAAATGTCGATGGGATAGAATCACTAGTAAATGGACTCCTGCACACCCGCTACCAAGGACTGAGCACTGAACCTGCGCATGTACCCTAACAGGGAATTGAACCAGTGCTTTCTCAGTGCATGGGTCAACGCTCAACCAAGTGAGCCATGACTATTCATCCTTTTTTATGAAAATATTTTGTAAAAGAGCCATAACACGGTAGAGCCTGGGTGTTATTCCAAACTTTACCTCGAATTTGACAAAAAGACCACAGACCAGTGCACAGACACAACCCTTATGAATATACACAGCTGTTGTAACTGTAAAGTATAGAAATAAGAAGGTAAGAAATAAGAAGAGGTCAAATAATGTTAACATTTTCTGCAAAGAGGCAGACATAAAAATGGAAACTATGTACAAATTAAATGTGACACAAAATAAAATGTTCATGTCAGTAAAATTATCCTGCAATAAAATCAACATTAATGTCAACGTATCAATGTCACAAATCTCTTTGTGAATGACTGTCTTTGTATTCTATAAACACAAAAGGGAGGTAAACACACCATGATAAAAAATATTAGTACTATTATTTCTTAGCCTTTTATTTTTTTGATAAAATTTATCTTGGGTGCTGATCTGTATTTTATAATTTTAACACACTTGAACATCCATTACTATGATGCTTGTAAACATTTTTGAAAATACAAAGCACTGATAAAGAAGAGTGTATCTGTGATAAGTCGATGAAATACAATAAAAATTTACAGGCCTGGGGCAAAGCAAATATCTCCAGTGAACAACAACAAAGCAACCTATAAATAAACAAAACTGAAAAGCCATCAAAGTTTCTAGAAGAAATGTGATTGTTTATGCATAAATCTCAAAAAAATTTGACACCCTTATTTAAAAAAACAAATTTAACTCTACAGTTCAGGAATTGGGCAGAAAACACCTGTGCCAAATGAGAATCAGGTACAAAGTAAGTGACATCAGGTGACAGAAGGACACATCATCACTAACACCAATTTCATACAAAATTCATTCCACAAATACCTCCTGTACGTTATAAATCTCACAGTGCATTAAAAAAGTAAGACTTCCATGCCAAAGTAGAGAGCAAGTCTCTGCTAACGAGTTTTCTTTTTCATAACTTTCTGAACCAATCCCGGCCCCTAAGGCCATCCTAGTTCAAGGTGCTTGGTCTCAATCCTGTTCTGCACAGCTGAAGTTGCAGATATACAAAATGTAAAACCTACATGTCCCTTCTGCAAACACCATCTCAATAGGGAACTCGCATATCAATGCCTTCCCATGTTGAACTGTGGCACAGAAAATGTTTTGAAAAGTTGAAGATAGGGGTTCAGAACAAGGCACCCTAAGATGTGCTTCAATGGTATGTTGAGCTGAGGCATCAAGACCTTTGGGTTCAAGAGAAACTTCTTCTCTCCACCTGAACTACCTAGAAGAATTTCAATGATGAGCCTGACTTGTGATATAGGTTAAACCAAAAATGACATTTGAACTACCTAGATGGTAAGGAAACTAGTATTTCCTGAACATGTGATTTCCTGGCAACAATATTCTAAAGTCCCAAGGTGCATTACCTCATCCCAGGCTCAGAATGTTTTATTTGCTAAATTTCCCTTTCAGTCTTTGAACCTCTCTTGCATGTGGGGTCTCTGACTCTGTCCTGTGTGTGCAGCTCCCATACATATCCCCTTTCTGATTAGGCCAGCTGAGAGAACCTTGAAAGTAGAAGAAAGTACCTTCCTCCCACACAATGGTCATTAACTTACGGTGAGATTCCTATGGGGGACTTGGATGGACACAACAGACAGAAAGCTGTGGACAAAAACGCAGAGGTAGCTGACTTTATCTCCCTCCTAAAGGCCTGCTTCCTTGCAGATATTGAAACTACTCATGTACTTGAGCAGTTGATGAAGGCTTGACTGCTACATGACCTTCCTCGGGTGGCTATAGTGAACTACGCTGCCATCTCTCCCCCACAGCGCAGGTGCTAACAACCAGACAACCCTGTTGGAAAGGAAGTAACTGCACCCTGAAATGGAAATCTCCACCAGCAGGCTGTTCTCAAACCACCCTCCTATGTGTCCCAGGCTGGTTAGAGCCGCCAAGCAGCGCCAGCCCCTCAGCAGCTCAGAGGACCTTCCTTTCTTCTGTGTTGTCTCTCTTATGATCGAGCATAAGCCTAAGAAAATTTCCCAAGATATAGCTCTAGAGGTTCCTCTTGATTTCTATCTCGGGGAACCCATAACCCCAAGTGACAGTCACATTTTAAAGAGAGAACTTAGATAATCATAAGAAAAAAAAGTAAGCAGTTAAAAACAAATTTTGTGTTGCAGGATCATCAGAAATAGAGAAACGAAGGTCTGCACCATCTAAATACATGAACTTTGAAAGGAAAAGCAGACAA